TTCAAACATATAACTAGAAATGGTGCAAAAAATGTTATGGCAATTTAATATTGCCGCCTTCTACACGTCTACCATGCCATATGTGTGTGAAATGTATGACATTATTACAGTACATATTAGACAGCCAAGTAAACAGAGTTTCAACTAAATAACCGAACACTTATATTGTCTATTGGTTACCTATTAGCTAAGATAATCATGGCCAAATTCAATCATATTATGACTACGGAATATAACAAAACGCTGAACACAAATTTTCAACAAACCGGTGTGATTGTTGGAAAGTACTACATCCTATCATGGGCTTAAGGAAGGCTGTGATGTGATGAGAAGTAACTTTATGACGAACTGCAATAATACTTGCAGGTCACTTAGTAACGATTAATCAATTAAATTGATAATTTAAATCTATATTGGGCTAATCTTTGGAATACTTACCTGAAAGGATTGCGATGAAACTTTTCGAACAGATAGAGAGCAATGCCAGGAGTGATCTTAGCTATATTTTATCTCAAAAACTCGGATAATATTTTTTTGTAAATTTGATCATTTATGACTATTATAAAAATCTGTGCAGGGCACAGTAAGATTGGGTGAGATTCGGCTCGTCCCCCTCCCCTTCTTAATCTTAATTCTTCTAAGTCTTGCCTTAATTCATGAACGTCCTCTGGCGCCACATTTATAGGTCCCACCCAGGCGAAGCCGCTAGCCACTAATGAAACAATAATCCATCAAATAAATCTTTAAAAGACCCACAGATGTCATAAGAAACGATTATTGAAAATGTTAGAAAATATTATGGCTATTAACAGATGGCGGTATAACCGTCTCTTTACGCCAGACTTAAAATGCCGAGACCAGCGATAGAAAGCCGCGACAAAAGTAAAATGTCTGGTACTGCTATCGTCAAGCAGCGACGAGTAAGACAAATCTTCCCCGCAATGAGAGGGGTCCATGTCCAGCAATGGAATTTAACGAGCTGAGAAGAAAGAGATACACCTAAAACTATTCCAAGACTTCACTCACCTACGTTTTACCAATATCTAGTTAATGATAAAATCTGACGTCTCTTGTCGTCAAATTGCCAAAATAAGGGTCAGTTCATACCGAGACGTGATGCGACGAGACGAATGCCTGAAGAGGCCAGCGCGTCGTCACAAGACGCAACATGACTTCGCTGGAAGTGCATAACACTTACACGCTGAGCCTACCGACGAATTACCGTAGTGCGACGCCGCGGGGCATTTTTGAATTATCTCAATAAAATGTGTCTTTTTTGTAGTAAATAAAGTTTTATTTTGTATTACTATCTTAAAAAAGCGTTGCGTCACGTCTCGGTGTGTACTGACCCTTAATGAACCATAAATTGCGGCTGCCCGAATTAATGAATTGAACAATTAATTTGAGCACATAAACTGTTCTGGTGTTTTATATTTATAATAACTAAAGGTGAAATTTTTAAAAGTTAATGACTTCAATATAATAGTAACTTTTAAAACCTTACTCGTCGTTTCCATCTCCATTAATTCTCCGGTCTAAGGAACCTTATTTCTAATCTATAAAATGATATTGACAGTTAAACTAGTCTATTTTTTACATCGAAGAAATAAATATATTTTATGTCATTTCATTTCACACTATAATATAATCTCGTAATTTGGAATAAAAAAATATTTAAATTAAACCATTTCTATTTAATTAAATTAATTAAGGTAAATGTTACTACGAATTCCAAATGATTTACATCCTTCCTTTCAACTTTACGTTAATGACTTACGAAAGTTAATCGTAACCTTATTTGTCGATGAATCTTCAAAGCTATTTAATTTGTGAGTTTAACGTGTTCTGTCTCTTTTTGTTTCTTGAAATGTTTCTAATTATATTTAAGTATATTTAAATTCTTATTATGAATGGTTGATCTCATACACAATTTTCATCCTTTATGCACTAACATTATTTTAGATACATTATACACGATCGTTTTAGATAATTATATAACTTTTATGATCGATTAACGATCGATGACAGTAAAGTGAAATTAACAAAGTTCACACAAGATAATATGGTACCTACTTGTAATTTTTAAACCATTTTGCCTTTACTGATTGTGATTCTGTATATAGTACATTAATATTAAAAGCAATTTCAACTGGTCAACCACCGTGTCTATCTAGAGAATAAAGATTATTTCTCAGATGCTTTTTTCATCGTTTTCCCCCTCGAGACAACACATCTACATTTTGAATCTAAATCGAGGAAACAAGTATGTGTAAGTATTTGTGGGCAACTAACCATTAAGTGAACTGTATTTTCGTATTATCCCTTAGTTCTACAAAAGTCATTTAAGAAATGAATTATATGTAACAATCGATGATGTCGCCACTCCCAAATCAAACATAGTGATTAAACACTTAAGAAATAGCACGAGTAAACTAAACGTCACGTCTGAAACTACAATTGGCTATTCGCCGTTTAAACATCTGCTTTGATACACTCAACTTTATAAAGGCTGCATCAAACAAATTTGCTTCTAGAATATTAGTAATTGTTGGCAACACCAACGTTACATATGTGTTATTTAAATATTAGCTGCGCCTCCAAAACTGACCTTTTTATTTCTGAGCCATAAGCAATAAGCAACTGTAATTGTGAAGTGTACCAGTGTTTCTGTACATTAAGGATCTAATACCACAAGCAGAGTTTAATTTATCGCCGCACCAAACTGTAATCTATACTTAATACAATATAATACGCTAATCTCTGAAACTACCAATACGATTGATAAAATTCTTTTTGTATATTATAAACCAATTTATGAGGAATGGTATATAGGCTATATGCTGCAATTATATTAGTAGTATAGTTGTAGCACGAATGGGTCGGTTCGACCGGGGAAGGACCACGCTCTCACAGAATACCAGCGTGAAATAGTGGCTTAATGCTGCTGTGTTTCGTATGGTGATTGTAGAGAACCGGAGACCCTTTTTACTGGAAATGAGGCAATCCATCTTAGTCCTCACGGGTGACAACACATCTGCATTTTGATTTGTGATCGAGGATATATGTATATGTCCATGGGCCACAGCAACCACTTACCACCAGGTGGACTGTGTGCTCGTTTGTCATCCTGTCCTATAAAAAAAAGCCCTAGCCGTTCTATTAGAACAAAGAGAAAGCAGCAGTAAACACTTCTATTTCAGATTAGTTCAATTCATTTCAACTAAAAAATCAAATTTTCGAAATAGGATAGCAACATTGAATGAAAGAGTTTAGAAATAAATTTATAATAGATAAATCTATCAAAAATAAAATGTATTAATCAAAAATAATTATACTACAAAAGAGTACATGATTGATAAAAACCCCTGGGAATATGATGGTCGCTACCATGCTTTTTTAATGTTTTTATAAAATTGTACGAAATATTATATTGTAAATTGTGCTTTTTTAGATCCTGCTGGGTTTCTTGCTAGTTCTTCCCGGGGCAGTGGTTCTTTTATCGAAACAGAAAAAAACCTCTGCTTAAGTATCACATATAATCTATCATACATAATCTATTATTATTATATGTTGGTGATGTATAATTACTGATTTTATACAAATAAACGATCAAATATAGGGGATGACGGCTCCGTCACGGTAATTTTCACTATAACTATTTCCGTGGCTCCGTGGTGCTTAGGGTGCGAGGGGCTTAGCAGTGAGTTGCAACGCAACGATAAGGGCCGCGGGTTCGAAACTCGCATGGTATGGCCTATTAATAATTGCTCCGGGTCTAGATGTTTATTTTTGTGAAATATATCCCATTAACGGCGGAATTTTTGTCATGTCTTGGATTCTCGTGATTCTTAAATATATTAAAATTTATTACACCCTTAACATAATGTTGCGCGGCTAAGTTGACACTTAATCTCATGGCACTAGCGCCATCTAGTGTCGGGCAACAGAGCGAGGAGAGAGCTTTCCAGAAAACGACACGACTAATTTTTTAACTGACAGCGCCATCTAGTATCAAATTGAAGAACTAAACTTTCTAGAAACTCTACACTCGATCTTTCTGCGCTTGGTCGGTTGGCGCGCGTATTTACTCGAATATTTTGGAATATTCTGGATGTTTTCGTGGAAGAGCCCTATATAAAGGCGCTGCAATACGCGATCAGAGAAGGATTGGATTTGGCGAGACAAGCGAAGCTTCAGAGCGGAATAAAGTGAATTAGTGTGTTTAATTATTAGTGTTTTAAGTTTTAATTTGTGTAAAGTAAATTAAAGTGTTAATTTAGGTAATTTTATCGGCAATTTTTATTGTCACGAACCTCAAGCTCGTCAAAAATAAAATCAAGGTTTAAAAAAAATATGCATATCATACTTTTGGAAATATCAGGTGATGCCGAATTGCACCGCTAGCCTAATATAGTAGGAAAAATAAAATAAACTAGTACTTTTTAAATCAAGCTTTATTCGAATAAAAAGTAAGTATTACAGAGCATTATTAAGAAAAAAGGTTAAACATTACAAAACGTTAAGCATGGAAAGCAAAATTGCATTCCAAGCAAAGGCCTACACCATATTTACTACATTCGGATCTTGTTTGACTTTTACATGTAGGATACGCACATTTTCGGCGTTGTCCGTGTGGATTAGGAATTAGTAAATGTCCGATTCCATCGTATCGGATATCGCCTGACACTCGATTTCCACTTACGGAAAATATTGATGTTGGGGGTGCCTACCCGCAACATCAATATTTTCCGTAAGTGGTAGTGGTAGTGGTAGTAATAGTACTAGATGGCGCAGATCTAAATTTTATCAAGTATGTTTTGACAATGTGTCTTCGGAAGTTAAGCTGGGAAATGTTATTTCTTACTTGCCTCGATAATGTCCAAGCATTACAAATGTCAATGATATATGTGAAAATTGGCCACCACCATTTTTAGCCTCTTATGCCAATACGATAATTGTTAATGTTTTGATTCATAAGGTCTGTACCTTCCATGAATTTGTTACAGTTTGTGAACACTGCAGGGCGTGGCACCTGAATATTTTTTCTTTTCTGTGGCTGAGCGACCAGAGAGATTTTTAATCAAGCCTGATTGATCTTCATCTGCCGATTCTTCATCGGTATGCATGGATGGATCTGGAGTCTCAATGAAAATATACGACGGCTCCAAATCTTCATCATCTTCAAGCGCTGCAAATGCGTCATGTAGTGTACAGCCTCTAAAATAACAAAAAAAATATCATTACGACCTCGAATAATACACCAGTTATTGATAAATCAAAAATATATTCGGCTACTGATGCAATTTGGTATCACTTATATTTGACGTGCTATATAATGTAAACAGATACAAATTGACACAATAGTTATGTGAATTTAGATGAAAGATTAATATAAAAATATGATACAATACTCAACATACATTCATATTCATAAATATTAAAATATTAAAGACTTACTTGAGAGGAATGTCCATTTTGCCGGTCGTTTTTGAACACTGAAGTTTGAGACGTTGGTTTGTCAAAATACTCAATGGTGATTGATTAAGATCAATATCAAATGACAGCCCGACCTTTTTTCTTATGTCTCTGTAATTAGTTGTTTGATTAATTGCGCGTAAACAAAAAATAACAGCGAAAATTTAAACGCAGTTTTAGTGCTGCCATACTGCACCGCACGCCGTTAATGGGATATGTATGTCAATTGCCCCCACATGTCAGCTGCCCCCACAGTGCAGGAAAAAATATATTGTGTAGGAAAAGTTGAAAAAAGACATTAAGAATACCTGTTCTGCAACACTATTTCATTTCACCTAAAGAAAATTTCGTGCGGTTTTTATGTACTAATTCATTTTTACCATTCTTAACTATTTCTACGTTTGGTGCTACATCTTTAACAACTTTATAAGGACCAGAGTATAGATCACTTAGTTCATTGCCTGACTTATTTTTTAAGATTACTAAATCATTTACATTGTATTTATAGGCTTGGTATATTTATCAAATATAAATATTCTTTCGATGAAATATACACGCTCTCCATTTTCTAAGTGTACAGCAAGGTGAGAAACTGTTGGGTGCCTTTCGTGTAAATGGAAGCCAAGGCGACGCTACGCTGCCTCGTTATTGCTGACATAACGCCCTGCTTGAAAGTTCTGTACTTCATTAACGGGATTTGCCTCACATTCATTCCTGAGATTAAATATTGCTTGGTCGCTTCCTTTATTTATGTACTTACAGATATACTTGATTGCGCGGACAGAGCTACATGTTTCTACATAAATGTGGGCATTAAACATTTTACATAGAATGGGCGAATACGGGACAATTCAGCTTTTATCTAAGGTTTCGAACGCTCCAGAGCGAGATTTGATTGTAACTTTTCTGCCACCATCTTCGGGAGCTCAGCGTCTGTATAAAAGGTAGCCATTGTCATTGTGCACTGTTTCTTTAAATAGCTGTTTAGGGAATTTCTTTGTACATTTTCCTTCTTTCATACATGGCGATATTAAATTTCGTGCTCCACATGGACCGTGAATCATACTTCGGACGATGGTATCATACAATTCTTTATCTTGCTCGGGATCCGGAATCTCGGCGCTTATTATGTCGTCTATTTGGCTGGGCCGCAACTTCTCTTTATGCCATATTAGAATGTGGGCATGCGGTAATCCTCTTTTTTGCCATTCAATTGAATACATGAAGCACTGCACCTCTCCGAAAATTTTCCCTTTGTTAATTACATACATTAATTTTTGTACTTTTAATCTAAATACTCTAGCAACTAAATCGTGTCTGTCAGTACTTTTTTGGCCCGGCATTAGCTCGTTCGCTATTGTATTTCTGTAGTACATGAAATTTTCGTTAATTTGTTGGACACTTATTTACATTTTTAAGACTTTTTAGGATTTCAATCATTAATTGTTTAAGAGCCCTCTTCTACAAAACAGATATAGTTTCAGTTTCAGTTGCGTTTTCCCGTAGCAAAATATCATGCAACATTCCATTCATCCATCCATCACAGTCTATAAACAATCAACTGCTAAACATATACCTTGGTTCGCGTCCTGTCTTCGTTCCGACTTTTTTTCCTTTTTTTTTTAAGTTCCCTTCTTTTGTGAGAAAATCTATTATTTCGAGGCCTTTTTTTAGTATTTTTTAAAAATACGAAAATTTTAATTAAACTAATTGCACTCATGAATTTTTTATTGAAATAACCAGTTCAGTTGTTTCTATTATGTCAATAAGATCAAAAAATATTATTCATGTTTCATCTGTATGTAATGTGTATCTAAATGTAATTTCAAAAAAAAACCCAGCGAAGCTCGGCCATCCAGGTACTTACGTATAAATTTTTTAGGTGTTTAGGTATTAGGAATTTATTAGGTATAAATTCGGCAAACAAGTTTAATAAATATATAAAATATTTATGAAATCCAAAAGTGCACGTCTCGTGAGCGTTCTAATTACATTTTGTTAAAAATAGTGTATTCCTAACTTTAAAAAAATAATATACGTGTTTTCAATTTTGCGCACAATTATTTTAACAGGTAGTGTCACATACAGGGCAAGGTATTGATATGAAATAGGGAACCAGTTGATGTTCTGTTAATTCTGAATCTAATAAAAAAAATCGGGAGTTATCGTGACCACATTCAGAATCAACGTCCGGACGTCCACTTAAATTTTTTTCGGAGAGGAGTAGTAATCTCCTGAGAAGGGGCCGCCATGGGGCGACCAGCGCTGTTGGGGCCGCGAATGTGTGCGTAAACGTTCCCGTGGCCCTGCTTATATGCAACGAAGGTGAAACACCAGGGTTTAGTCGGTGCGAGTCCGACATAACCCGTCCTAGTCCCCGCAAACATCACCGACGTCTGAATGCGTTCCCGTAGTTCCCGCCAAATGACAAAGAGAATAACTCAATTGCGTCTCTTATCCAAATGGGTTCAGCCATAAATAAATTAAAAAAACATTTTATTCTAAAATGTATGACGTTCTTAAAATCTTAAGAATTATATCCTAATATAATTCGAAAGATTTTAACATATTTATTTTAATTATTTACTATGAAATTGTTAGAAATTTTCTAATAGACGAAAACATTCAAATAAGCGATTGGATTAAAAAAAAAATATTTTATTTAATTAAATTTGCAGCTTATAAAAAAAGCGTTCAATAGACCTAGTAACATAGGTTACACGAAAGTTCAGATTATCAGATGTGAGGTTTTTTTTTTAAATATACTAATGTATTTTAGGAAATGATATACACAGAATGATGATGACAGCCTAATATTTTATTGAACAATACAAATAAAAAAAATTGATATAGAAGCTGTCAAATTTGGAAATAATTAAACCTAAATATATCAAAAACAGGAATATAGTCCAGTAGTATCTCTTCAAATTGTCTTACTGATGATATAATAAATCCATGTTGATTACTTTTACATTTGCAAAGAATTGTTATTTCCAACCAGATATTTCTTTTATATTCTTTGATGAAATATAATTAAAAAAAGTCCTATGACTTTTTACGACAAAGTTATTATTTTGGGAGGATTTGCCAAACGTGGCAACTATGGTAAATATCCACTCCACGTGACTGTCAATTTTCTGCCTACGATAAGCATGATTAATCACACATGAATTATATATTATATCATGCTAAGATAATGCGAAAGAAAAACATGGGTTTTTAGTATCGTAGTAATCCGATTTCATTGTAATGCATCAAAGATAACATTTTATAGTCTTTGTACTGCTCGAATCTTTTATTTGGGGAAACAAAGTCAATAACGTCAGTACCACAAACGATATCTTAGCAAATTGAATGCACCTTCGAATAACAGAATTGAAAATTAAATGTAGAGAATACAAAAGAGAAAATGGATATGGAATGTTTTCAGTTTTGCTTTTTATAATTTTTTTTTGTTCCAGAACACAGTGCTTCAAAAATTTTTTGAAGTTAAAATTTTTTAGCTGTTTATTTTTTTTATTCGGATTTCTTAGTTTGATTTGGTAGATATATATATATATATATATATATATATATATATATATATATATATATATATATATATATTTTAAAAGCCTACTAAATATCTGTAAATACATTAGAAAAGAAATTAAAACTTTATATAATTTCGACTTTTTATGTTATGTTCATAAAGCGCACAGTTACTTTATTTTAATCCGTGGCCGTCGTAACATACGACTATGGGAAACAGCAAGAACACAAATCACTGACGCGTGTGGTGGGACCGCAAGGTGAAACGCAGCTGATGAAATTGCAGCTTATAAAAAAGCGTTCAATAGACCTAGTAACATAGGTTACACGAAAATTCAGATTATCAGATGTGATGTTTTTTTTTAAATAAACTAATGTATTTTAGGAAATGATATACACAGAATGATGATGACAGCCTAATATTTTATTGAACAATACAAATAAAAAAATTGATATAGAAGCTGTCAAATTTGGAGATGATTAAACCTAAATATATCCAAAACAGGAATATAGTCCAGTAGTATCTCTTCAAATTGTCTTACTGATGATATAATAAATCCATGTTGATTTCTTTTACATTTGCAAAGAATTGTTATTTCCAACCAGATATTTCTTTTATATTCTTTGATGAAATATAATAAAAAAAAGTCCTATGACTTTTTACGACAAAGTTATTATTTTCGGAGGATTTGTCAAACGTGGCAACTATGGTAAATATCCACACCACGTGACTGTCAATTTTCTGCCTACGACAAGCATGAATAATCACACATGAATAATATATCATGCTAAGATAATGCGAAAGAAAAACATGGGTTTTTAGTATCGTAGTAATCCGATTTCATTGTAATGCATCAAAGATAATATTTTATAGTCTTTGTACTGCTCCAATCTTTTATTTGGGGAAACAAAGTCAATAACGTCAGTACCACAAACGATATCTTAGCAAATTGAATGCACCTTCGAATAAGAGAATTGAAAATTAAATGTAGAGAATACAAAAGAGAAAATGGATATGGAATGTTTTCAGTTTTGCTTTTTATAATTTTTTTTGTTCCAGAACACAGTGCTTCAAAATTTTTTTGAAGTTAAAATTTTTTAGCTGTTTATTTTTTTATTCGGATTTCTTAGTTTGATTTGGTATATATATATATATATATATATATATATATATATATATATATATATATATATATATATAATATATATATATATTTTAAAAGCCTACTAAATATCTGTAAATACATTAGAAAAGAAATTAAAACTTTATATATTTTCGACTTTTTTATGTTATGTTCATAAAGCGCACAGTTACTTTATTTTAATCCGTGGCCATCGTAACATACGACTATGGGAAACAGCGAGAACACAAATCACTGACGCGTGTGGTGGGACCGCAAGGTGAAACGACGTTTGATATTATGGAGCAAAGTAAAAAGTAGGTAAATTTTTGAAAAAAATAATTAAGAATATTTGTCCCATGTTTCATTTCATCCATTTGTTTATGAATTAAAAAGACCATTAATTGTTTTACTCCATAAAAATTTTACAGTCTCTTGCCCACATGTATGATTCATTGATCATATGATATAGATTGGCACTTTTATCAGCACAGTTCCTAAGCAACTTCATTATTTAAATAACCTTCTTGACTCGATTTGAGAGGTATGAGATATGCTGTTTGAAGGAAAGGTTGTAGTCAACAATTACACCCCAGTACCTGATCGTCTCCATTCTCGCAATACCCTCACAGTAACAATGTTGCAGAATGTTACAAGTACGGACTGGAATGTCGTTCTGCATCAACATATTAGTTGCACAAGTTTCGTGGAAACACATGTATTTGGATTTTTTCGCATTAAGTGTCAACAAATTACTATTCAGCCACCCAGCCACTTGGCCTTTACCGTTCTCGGCCAGCTTTCTTACGTCTTTCCAGGATCGACCATGAAATAAGACAAAAAATAAAAATAATGAATAGATGTATTGATGTGTAATCATTGCCTTCATTTAAATTTTATAAACGTCTTTTAATTAAATATAAATCGTTTATGTTCTTAGAAAAAATTAATTAGTTTCTTCATTACCAATCCAGAATGTTATTATGTTTTTAAAATTCTTATGTATGTGAGGTGTTAGCGCACCTGGAAATTTTTTTTATTTGAAGTTGGTTACTAAATTAGTTTATTACGGTCTCCATGAACTGCAGTAACTATTTAACATCAGGTAGACTGTTAGCTCGTTTTTTTAATATTGTGTTATTAAAGCATAAATATATAAATATATGTAAATCGCCACATTTCAGATACCTATCCAGATAAACATAATAAGTAAGGTACTATCTAAATATGCTCTAACTAGCTACTTACTGCCTCTAGGGTCTAGTGCTCGTAAGCGCGCCTGCTGATCATGAGGTCTCAGGTTCAAATTGTGTGATGGACCGAAATAAGTTATTTGTTATTTCTGTCAAGGAATTAACTGTAAAAGCCCGGAGTCATAAAGTGGACCGTGTTTCATCCCTGTGTCTCAAAAATACCTAAAGCCGTTGGTCCTGTTCTTGTGATCCCTCTCCCGTCTGATTGCTGTCTTGTCGGACTATGAAGGTAGAGTAATAAAGAGTACACTGTGTTTGCACACACAGTCTTACACTATAAACCTCCCCGGTGCAAATTGCTAGTCTCCATAAACAAGCCGCCGTGACCTCAATATTTTAGACATTTATCACAATATCAAATTTCATCAAATCGTTAAGGCCATTTCCGAGAATCAAAATGATACACAAATACAAGAATTGCTAGCTTAAAATGTTAAGAAATATAAGCAAGACCCTCAAACTTAACCTATAGCTTCAGTGGAGTGAAGATGTTTGCAAAACATTCTGAGCGATAGTCACTAGATAGACACTGATAGAAAAACTGAGATTATTAGGCACGTCTATCGCTCTGCCGCTCTTACCACCACGCTGAACGCTCTGCCACTGCCACGCTAAACTCTCTTTTACTTCCACTAAGGTTACCTTACCTTACCTTTTCTTCATTTGCAAGTTTCATTTTAGAAGACTCATAAATATGGACCGCAAATACAGTACATAAGAGGCATTATTTTATTTATTTATGTAGCGGCGCTATCGTCACGCCACAAGCGAAAACACACCGAAGCCTAAATCGCGCTATCAACATTCCGAATCATAAACAGTATATATAGAACTTCTCCGAACTATCACACGGAGCGTTGGCCGCTTCCCGGGCAGAACACCTTGCCCGACGGGTGATCTCTCCTTTTCCTTCACGGCCACAGTGGACACTACCCGACGTGATCTGAACATGCGACTAACTACCTTCGGAAACTTCAAGCTTCATCATCGTCATAGAGTACCCCACCCATTCGCTCCCGAGCAGATATCGTCTGCTGTCTTCATATCCTGCAAGCCATCTAGCTTCACAAGGTTCATCGCAGCACTGGAATAATAATGCTTCCTGTTCCTTCAAGTTACTCTTTGCGCTATACAGTGTTCAGCAAGGCTCTGAGCCTTACTGCTCGCCTCTGATTCACGGCACTCTCGCAGATTACTTGCCTTCTTCTCGACTCACCGTAGACTACAAGGCAATCTCCTGGCACTTGCACATTCGTCGGCAACGAGGCGGCACTATCAACCTCCGGTCTGAGCAGGGGGGTGATGTAGCGGCGCTGTCGTCACGCTACAAGCGAAAACACACCGAAGTCTAAATCGCGCTATCAACATTCTGAATCATAAACGGTATATAGAGAACTACTCCGAACTATCACACGGAGTGTTGGCCGCTCCCCGGGCAGAACACCTTACCCGGCGTGAGATCTCCCCTTTTCCTTCCACGGCCACATTTTCTTTATAACAGAAAAAAATTTACCTCGAAATCTTAACATGTAGCATTTATTATCATAAATGCTATGGATTTTTTAAAGTAATGCCGTATTAGTTAACTAATATCTATATTTCCTTTTCTTAAGAACTAATAACTGTTTATCTTTTTAAAACTGAGTCCGTTAAATTTCAAATTATTCACCAGTCAATTTATTATCAAAATCGTTTTTATTTTAAGAAACCTTTAATTAAGATCTTTAGACTGATAAACGATCAGAGAAGGGTCCATGTTCAAATAAAAATGAATCAGATGATTGATTGATTTTGAATACCTTCTTGATGTTATATTTTCTAAGATTCCAATGTAGACAGACGCCATTATTGATTGCTGATTTTAAAATATTAATGGATATCGCAACGTCTGCTATTTCATGGATCTTTAAACAAAATAACGTTTTTGATTAACTTTACATGTACATGAATATCGTAAAATAAGTCCACAAAAAATACAGGGATACCAGCGTTGACGAGTTTGTTAAGCATTTTCGAATTATATATTTTTAAAACATAAGAAGTAGTCGTAAATTGCTTAAAAAACGTTTGGTAAATCGAAATGTTCATACCTTAAGCGCTCATGCTAATGTCAATTATTTAAATTATTTTGAATACACACAAGTTTTCACAAATGACGTAATACTGTCCTACATACCGAATTTCGGTCACGGCGGCCAGCCTTAATGGAGACTAGTCATCGGCGCAGGACAGGATTATTAGTGCCCAAGTGTATGTGGAAGCACATGTGCACTCCCTATTCTACTACTCTCATGGTCCGATGGTACGGTAAACCGATACGATCGGAGGGAGATCAGGCGCAGAACCAACGGCTTTATTTGCTTTCCGAGGCACGGGGGCTAGACACCGCCAACTTTCTGACTCCAGGCAGCTACTGAGAATTTATTAACGGAAAAACTCATCATCATTACAGCCCTTCACAAGTCCACTGCTGAACATAGGCCTCCCCCAAAGTATGCCACAAAGCACCGTTCTGAGCCACCTGCATCCGTCGACATCCTGCATGTTTTACCAGGTCGTCGTTGCATCTAGTGGGGGGTCGCCCTACAATTCGCCTACCGGTACGAGGCTGCCTTCTCGAGACTCGAGAACCCTTTTTCCACAACAGTTGTCGGTTCTTCGAGCTATATGGCCGGCCCATTGCCACTTCATCTTACTAATCCGTTGGGCTATGTTGGTCATTCAGGTTCTACTGCGGATATCCTCATTTCTAAGTTTATCACGCTGAGAAACTCCGAGCATAGCCCTCTCCATAGCTCGCTGAGCGACCTTCAGCGTCCTCATACGGCCAGCAGTGAAGGACCACGTCTCAGATCCGTAAGTCATCACTGGCAACACACACTGGTTGTACAATATAGTTTTCAGAGTTTGAGGTATACCTGACGAGAAAATGTGTCGTAATTTCCCGAACTATGCCTAGCCGAGTTGAATCCGTCGATTGACCTCTCGGTCGAAGTTGGACTTACCTAGTCGGACTATTTGTCCCAAGTAAACATACTCGTCAACAACTTCGATCTTAGTGCTCCCAACAACTACCGGCATAGATGTGACATGGACATTAAACATGATCTTTGTTTTGTCCATGTACATCTTAAGACCTATCCGTTGGGAGGCACTATTGAGGTCATTGAGCATAGTGCTAAGGTCCTCCAGCGATTCTGCCATAAGGACTATATCGTCGGCAAATCGAAGGTGAACGATGTGCCATTAATACCGTATCCTTTCTAGTCCAGTAGCTTGAAAACGTCTTCCAATGCAGCGGTGGAGAGTTTAGGGGAAATAACGTCACCCTGTCCTACACCTCTCTGCATTTGAAAGGTTTCGTACTCTGGTTCTGTACTCGGATGGCCATCGTAGCCCTACTGTACACTTCAGCACTTCGATATACCTACTGTCAACTTGGCACCGCTGAAGAGACTGTAGCACCGCCCAAATTTCGACGGTATCAAAGGCTTTCTCATAGTCCACATACGCCAGGCAAAGTGGTAGATTGTACTCTTCGGAATTCTGTACACTTTGCCGAAGGGTATGTATGTGGTCTATGGTACTAAAGCCTTTCGGAAACTGGCTTGTTCGGGAGGCTGGAAGTCGTCGAGTCTGCGTGCGAGACGATTCGTAATGACTCTCGAAAACAGCACGTAGACACGCTCAGAAGGGATATCGGTCTGTAGTTATTCAAAGAGGGCGTTGTCAACTTTCTTGAAGAACAAGACCACCGCACTTTTGCTCCACGCCTCCGGAGTAGTGCCACCTTGGAGGACGAAATTAAAGAGCCTCTGAAGGACTTCAAGTACCGGTTTTCCACCCGCTTTCAGAAGCTCCGCTAAAATTCCATCCTCGCCCGGGGACTTGCCGTTTTTAAGGTACTGGAGAACCATTCTAATCTCTCTCAGATTGACGTCCGGGATATCATCGGAATAATGTCGGATAAGACTTGCTCTTGGCTTGTTACTCATACTTGCGTGTGGCTCCAACGATGATGTGTACAGCTACCTATAGAACCTCTCAATCTCACTCAGACTCTCAGGTGTCCCGGACACGAAGCTGCCACACTCAGTCTTCAGCTTTGACAGTTGGCTCTTACTGGCAGACAGATCTCTGGCAAAGACTTTGGAGCCCTGGTTCCGCTCGATCGCTTCTTCAATACGAGCAGTATTAAAGTTGCGCAAGTACTCAGAACGGAAAAACTCAATAATTGATTATTTGGCCTGACCCGGGATTCGAACCTAAGACCTTATGATCAGCAGTCGCACTAATAAAACAAATAGACCAACGAGGCAGTCAATCAAGTCAAGTCAAGGCATGACTCATAATTCTCATATGATCGTGAAAAAATGTAGAAAAAATTCTCAATCAACAATAGAAAATATATTTTTTTAATTTTACTATGTTATTATTATTGAGATTTTTTTTATTATTGTTGATTGAAACTTTTAACAAACTTTTATCGTAAAATCTAGTCTTTATTACCTGACTCAAATATTTTTTTTCATCAATTTTATTTCGTTTTCAAAAAAAAAAATCATCTATTCGTAAATTGTATTTTAATTTAGCATTCACCAAAGTACACCTCCAGGTAACTCCATAAAGTCCAAGATCATCATCATCATCATCATTACAGCCCTTCACAAGTCCACTGCTGAACATAGGCCTCCCCCAAGTAATGCCACAAAGCACGGTCCTGAGCCACCTGCATCCATCGACTTCCTGCATATCTTACCAGGTCGTCACTCCATCTAGTGGGGGTCGCCCTACACTACGCCTACCGGTACGAGGCTGCCACTCGAGAACCTTTCTTCCCCATCGGTTATCGGTTCTTCGAGCTATATGGCCGGCCCATTGCCACTTCAGCTTACTAATCCGTTGGGCTATGTCGGTCACTCTGGTTCTACTGCGGATATCCTCATTTCTGAGTCTATCACGCAGAGAAACTCTGAGCATAGCCCTCTCCATAGCTCGCTGAGCGACCTTGAGCGTCCTCATACGGCCAGCAGTGAAGGACCACGTCTCTGATCCGTAAGTCATCACTGGCAACACGCACTGGTTGTACACTTTAGTTTTCAGAGATTGAGGTATACCTGACGAGAAGATGTGTCGTAATTTCCCGAACGCTGCCCAGCCGAGTTGAATCCGTCGATTGACCTCTCGGTCGAAGTTGGACTTACCTAGTCGGACTATTTGTCCCAGGTAAACGTACTCGTCAACAACTTCGAGCATAGTGCTCCCCACAACTACCGGCATAGGTGTGACATGGACATTGAACATAATCTTTGTTTTGTCCATGTTCATCTTAAGACCTATCCGTTGGGAGACACCATTGAGGTCATTGAGCATAGTGCTAAGGTCCTCCAGCGATTCTGCCATAAGGACTATATCGTCGGCAAATCGAAGGTGAGTGATGTACTCACCATTGATGTTAATACCGTATCCTTTCCAGTCCAGTAGCTTGAAAACGTCTTCCAAAGCAGCGGTGAAGAGTTTCGGGGATATAACGTCACCCTGTCTTACACCTCTCTGCAGTTGGATAGGTTTCGAGTAAAGTCCAGATGTAAAAGTTTATTTAAATATAAATTCGACATAATTTTAGCGAAAATATATATTGTAATGAAAATCTGTGAATAATATCTTACTTTGGTC